TATACCATGATTTATTTACTGAACCAGTCCTTACTTTCCTAAATAAATGTTAGCTAATGTAATAATAACAATTAAAATTACATTATTCTTATATATTTATATATATACATATATATGTATATATATGTATATTATATATATATACTCCTTACACACATAATGTCTTATTTCATAGCAATATTCTATTATGTTCATGTTCCACAATTTCTTAAGCAATTGTCTAATTAATGGATATCTATTGTATTTCCAATTTTTTCAGTTTTAATCAGATAAGGAGTTTCTTCTTTAATGCTTGACATTTTGTAAATTTTTGGTTCTTTTCAAGGTGGTATGATCTAAGGAGAGATGTTTACTACTCTCCTGGCCTATGCTTCGATCTGTGAGGGACCACAAGTACTCTTTACGTCCCTGGAACTCCACTGTGACTGTAAGCTCTCATGTGCTAGTGCTCCTCCTTGCCCCAGGACTGCCACCCAGGACTGTGACCCTGATCTGAGTATGGGCAAAGCAACAGAGTCCTTCCTCAGGGCTTGCAAAGAGACCCTGTAATCTCCATTTGACCAGTTGTTTGACCCCCTTACTGTCTTTGGGGTGAGAACTCTGGGAGCAGCTGCTACCATTGCTGATTCAGTGGTTCTCAAGGTGTGCTCCTGCTTTGTTGTGGGTGGGGCTATGCTGGCATGGCCTGCATTGGTATATGCTCCACTTTCACCTGGTTGCTACAGACTCTCCTGCTGACCTAAATTGTCCAGCACTATAAACTGGAATTGTCTAAATACCAGCATTGGTATCTGGGGGCTAAGAGGTCTGCAAACCACCACTGCTGCCACTGATTGAGCTGCCCTCAGTCCTGCTCCTGGTTGCTGAGGCCCTGTCTGCACTGGTATGGCCTTCACTGGACTGTGCTCCTCTCTCACCCTGGTGCCCAGACCTCTCTTGCTGACCTTCTCACTTTTCTTGGATTGTAGAATCGTTTCAGTCTGCCCTTTTGGTGGATTCTGCGGGTCTAGAATTTGTTTAGAATCATTATTTAAAGATATTTGGAAGGATTTCAGGAAGAGTTCAGGTGAATCTCTGCCTTTACTCAGCCATCTTGACTCCATGTCTGGACTTTTAAGCTTTTGGACTTGCCATGTTTTTCCAGGTGACCTATAATCCTTAATTTGTCTTTTTTTTTGTATCCTTAGTAATATATTTTACTTATATAGGTATGTGTTTTTTTAAGTTACTTATTGTTACTCTTCTCCTTCCAGACTGTTCTTGTCTTTTGCATATTTATATTCCCAATCACTTATTCTTTCTTTTTGCTTTGGTGAGATTTTCCTCCATTTATTTAATTCTTTCAATGCACCCAATTATTAATGTTATGCAGGAGATAAATTCAACTTTTACAACTCACTCCCTCTCTTTCTCTCTCTCTCTCTCGGTAACGAAGTTAAGTGACTTATCAAGGGACACACAGTTCATAAATGTCAATTGTCTAAGGACTGATTTGAATTCAGCTCCTCCTGACTCAAGGGTGAGTACTCTATCCACTGTACCACTTAGCTGCCCTCAACTTTCACTGCTGTCATTTCTTTCCTGCACTATTTCTTGCAACATGAGGAAACATTCTGCTGTGACTCCATGCTGTCGCTTCCCAAGCGACCTTGGGAATCCAAAAAGCCTTCTCTTGGTTCAGGTATTGATTAGTTTTTCTTTGTATTGCAATATTTATTTTTTTCTTTGGAATTATTTTAGTGTTCAAGGGTCTTTTTTCTTATGTTATTAATATCTTCCTTATCAGTTCATTTGATTTTCTTCAAGGTCTCTAACTGGATTTTCTTCTTATTGAGATCTTTGAAAATGTCAGTCTTTTTTCATTATATTCACCTATTCCATGCCTTCTAACTCCTTCCACTTTGATGTAGATTCCCTGATATCTGGACCTGAAATCTACCCAAACTCTTCCCGTAGTAGGTGGATTCACATTTGAGGGGTGTCCCAGCGTCAGCCTGTGTGACTTCTAAAAGGAAAAAATGGCTTCAGATCAATGCCAGGACCTTTTCCTTCAGATTTGGTGGAGTCGTACACATTCTGACTTCCTCCTCCAGTGCCTTCTGTTTCTTAGTTTTTCTAGCTAACACCTGCTGCAGCACAGCATTCTGCCATACTGCTACTCCATGGAGAGCAAAAATCTGATTTTCTATACCTCCACCTCTGCTGCACAGTGTGGATTAGAAAGAATTTAGTTCTTTCGTAAGCCGTGGGTGAAGTTGTGCCACCCCTGCAAGGGTGTAGCAGCTGGTGTGATTGGGAATTTTGAGTGAACATGTTAGGGATTAGGTATAATAGGCTTTCTCTGCTGTTAATTCATTGGTTTGCTGCCTTGTTAGAATTCTTGGTGCTTAGATGGTGTTGCTAGCTGAAACTGCTTTTTCTTCTCATTCATTATTGTTCTTTTGGAAACATTTCAGAGGTTGTGAGGATTGGAGAGGAAAGAGACTTCTCTGTTTTGTTCGTCACATGACTAAGAATATATAATCAGATTTTGATACAAATTTATTTATATTCTTACTGAAGGAAATCTAAAAAAGCTTTTCCCCCCAGAAGGTGTGGTTTCTAATGTAGTATTCCCTCTTGGTCTACTCCTCTACATCATGTTTACAGGTTAGATGATGAAGAGGTCAAGAACTCCAGGCATTTGTGAGTCCACACTCAAGAACTCAAACCACTTCACACAACTAGTCGAAGCAAAGAAAACAATTAGAGTGTGAACCTTTGAAGTATAAATATGAGGCACACTTTTCCACAAATATACACTGAGTCAATGGGAAGAGTGGGCCCATGCATAGTCTGCTACTTAAAAGATCCACGTAAGTAATACATGTGGCCAAGTGCACTCAAGTTTCTGCCACTTTGAGGCCCTGGCTTCCTTTCCCTTATTGTGGAATTTCCATATTGCCCGTTAAAAAAGTTTTAAAATTTATTTTATTTTAGTTTATAGAATAAAACAACCACTTCCATAATATAGTATAATAAAAAGTGATTGCATATGAAACTGAAAATCTATTATGTACAGCTTGCTATTCCCTTTAAATAAGTTTAAATAAACTTTTAAAAAGTTGTCATGTACATACCTTTTTTTATTCCCCCCCTACGCTAGAGATGGCTATGAGACTGAAACATGTATATTTGTAAAATCATTCTACAATCTATTAATCAGTTCTCTCTCTTTATGCAGATAGTATTTTGTTTTACATGCCTTTTGTAGTTAATCTGGGTATTTATAGGTGTCAAAATGTTACTTTTTCTGGGAACAGTATCTTTGCTGGCCAGTTCTTACAATTTTATTCACTGGGGATTCTTTTCTCCTTAGCTTAACTTCTGAGAGCAGAGCTGACTCTCCATCAATTTAAAATAGAGCTGGCTAGAATGCTTTTTTTTATATATGAAGGCAAAGGGAATGGCTAATGTAGACTTTGATTGCATGGCCTTAGTTGCCTTCATCATATAAGCAAGCACCCTAAATACTCTGAGGTTGATCAAAAGTGTTCATGTTAACTAAGGGAGTTAAAAATATAAAGTTTTATTTAAATTTGCTTTAGAAAGACTGAATTAGAGACTCCCAAGTTTTGCAACCTTTACTATCTGTGAATAGGACACATAGGGTGATCAGTTTATTTCTGAAATGGGAAAAGTTTAAAAATCTAAGACCCTTATACAAGGATGTCTGAAACAATGACTTATGGAGTCATCACTTGAAGAGTACCAATCTATGCTTTTCTCTTCTATAGTCATTGAACTCTGTTCACAGCTGTGTTGTATTATAAATTATCCTTAATTTAGTAAATAACAGAGTAAGAAGGAGCCACCCAAAATGTAATAACAATAACAGGGGAAAGAAACCAAATGAACATGGCTCAGACTCCTTGCTTTGTGATGAAGACTCCATAGATATGATGGTGATTAAGAGAGGGATTGTTGGCTTTTTTTTTCCCCAACTAAGTTGAGTCATTGAGAAAAAAGAAAGATGATTTTGGAAAGATTCTAGATATAGAACTCTAAAGGGATAAGGGCCCTGAAATTACAAATATCTCTTCTTTAACAAAAGAATGTGAAAGTGAGAATCGAAACATGTTTCTGAGCATACAATTAAGTATTCAGCAGATGGCAGCAGAGCTAGATATTCTGGGTGATGGAAATGGTACTTGAACTATGAGGATCATCTTATAGAAATCTGAGCCATACTTGCTCCATAAATCAAATTATTGTGTCAATGTCACAGAGGATAACACTTTCTATCTCCCTTGAAATAGGCTGTCTCTCAGCGGAACAAGATATTTGTAGGAGGAGACTTGCAAATCTTGTTGTGAACTGTGACTTTCATAACTCAGTTTGTCCACCTAAAAGATTTAAGAAAGGTATATGATCTATTCCTATTAAGGCAATGAGTGAGTATAACTGAAACTATGGGTAAATAATTTAGGTGAAATGTAATCCTAGGGAAAAGGAGAGAAAAAGTTGACTTAGGAAGCAGTAGAGGGCCAAAGATCAGGAAAAGAGACCCTGAGAAGAAAGTGACTCATAAAAGAGGTTCAATCTATTAGCCATTGGAAATGGAAGATCTTTCAGGAGGTTTGACATTTAGAAATTGGCCTAAGGTCGATTAGAAATTTATTGGGAGTGCAGAAAAGCCTACTACTCATGATCTAACAGTTTAGAGTTATTGAAGTGATGTGGGGTTGACACTGAGTCAAAACCATCAGTTCTGAAACTTTCAGTGTCAACAACATTCCCTAGTCCTTTGGAACTAGCTCTAAGAGAAGTGTCAGAAGTTCAGGAAAGGAACTTCTCCCTGGGAGGAAGAAGATGTTCTTCCTCTTTTTGAATAGAGCAAGACATGCAAATTGGTTCCCTCCCTACTGGGATGAAAAGCAGCCCCAAACCTGTACCTGTACCTCCTCTGGGAGACAAACTCAAGCTCTTGTGTCCTTCCTGCAGAGGACTTACTGGAAACTCACCATGAAATTTACGTTGAACTGGATTTTCCTTCTGACTATTTTCCAAGGTAGCTTTATGGAGAGGAAGGGACAATGTGAAGTGGTGACTTCATGTGATGATTGACTTTAATGTAATGTCTCTGTGTTGCAGGTGTCCAGTGTGATGTGGAGCTGGTGGAGTCTGGGGGAGATGTGATACAGCCTGGGGGATCTCTGAGTCTCTCCTGCAAAGGTTCTGGATTTACTTTCAGCAGTTACAGGATGAGCTGGGTCCGCCAGGCTTCAGGAAAGGGACTGGAATGGGTTGCAAGCATTAGTGGTAGTAGTGGTAGTACATACTATGCAGACTCTGTGAAAGGCCGATTCACCATCTCCAGAGATAATGGCAACAGCATCTTATACCTACAAATGATTTCCCTTGAGACTGAGGACACAGCTGTGTATTACTGTGCAAGAGACACAGTGAGGAAAAGGAATGTGAGACCTGATAAAAACTTCCCCTGCCTGGAGGTGAGGTTACAGCGAGGCAAGAAGTGGACTGAGCTCATGGTACACAGAGTAAAAGATACCTAGATCCAGCAACACGTGTAGAGTGAATTTTTATTTATGGCTTGTGGCGTTTTTTCTTCTATCCCAGGAGAAAGCAACTTTTCCAGTACCTAGCCATCATTCTTAGCGACTCACTCTCAGTCCCACCTCTACCCTCAAATCAATTGGTATTCAGGTACTGTCCATTCTACTTTTATTACAAATGTAGTATACTCTCCTTTCTCTCCTCAAGTTACTTCAACCACCTTGAGGTAGGCCTTTACCAATTCACCCCTGGACTCTTGTGCTAGCCTGATTCTTGTTCTCCCAGTCTTAGTACTCTCTTCACTCCAGTCCACTAAACTCAGCTATTAATATCACCTTCCTAAGACATAGACCTGACCATATTCCCCAATTCTGGTGACTCCAGGATAAAATAAAAGTTCTGATTTGGCTTTTCAATCCTTTTGTGGCCTGGCTCCTTCCTGTCTTATTCTACCTTAGTCCTTTCCACATACTCATCAATCCAATGGCACTGATCCCCTTGCTGTTCCTTTCACAACAGATTCCATCCCTCTACTGTGTATTTTCACTGGCTGGAATTCTTCTCCTCCTCATCCCTGCCTCCTGGCCCCCTTGACCTCCTTAAATCTTACCTAAAATACTCCCCACCTTCTATTTTCCCCGTCCTCTCTAATTCCAGTATCTTTAAGCTGCATACACACACACTCACACACACACACACACATAGAGGGGGATAGGTTGATGGTGCAGTATTATTTTCATGTCTCTCTGAATGAGACTGACTTCCTTAAAAACAGGACAATTTTTTGCCTTTCTTAATATCCCTAGTGCTTAGCACTGTGCTTTGCACATAGTTTACTATGCTGAATAGAAAAATTCTTCTTGCTGATTTGACCTTCTGTTTTCCTTTTCAATGAGGCTCTCCCATATTGCTGAGATTTGTCGTATTTGTATTTTCCATGTTATATACAGAATGAGTAAATTCTCTGACATTTTCACATATTGACATGAGGTATAACAAATTATTGAGTGTTGTGTGAATTAAATTCAACAAAAAGTAAATTATGGCACCTTTTTTCTAAGCAAGATAACATTCTATTATCAAGGCTGGTAACCTGAGAACAAGATGGGTCAATAACTGCCTTAGTCCCCAGCCAAAGATCACAAGCAAAAAACAGCTCCCCTTGTATAGATTTTGTCAAATACAGGACAAAAAACAGAACAGGATTGGTGACATCAGGGGCTTGAGGTCAGCATGATTTTTTATATAGGTGAAGGGTGGGGAACAACACGGTTCTCCCTTGGTCATATGGTCCAGGTCCCTGGCATTTTGTTACCTCACAGTATCCCCACCTTACTGGCCACTCCCATCAAATCCTCCTTAGACTCCTCCTCCAGGCACCCCAGACTACTTGGCCGCAACTAAATCCCGCCCAAAGTCTTTCTGTGTAAAAGTTCTATCCTTCCTCCTTAAGGGACTCAGATTCTTAACATTTGGCCCAGTAGCATTAGCAATACATATGCTTAGATTCCTCAAGAGTCTGTCCAATCTGGCAGATTCTTTAAATCTCACCCACTCCAATGTTCTAATAAACCTTGTCTTTCACTGCAAGAAGGCTTCTTTTGAATTCATTTCAGCAGGACCTGGGTGCTGTGATTTTTGGGGTCCCAGCTCTCCTACACCTCTAAAGCTCAATAGATCCATTTTAATATTAATTTTCTCAGTATTATATGCATATGGAAATCTCACATACATTATGTGTGACATATAAAAAGTTGGAGAGGTGTAGCTCCTCAATAATTAATCATTGTATTAATAATGCTAGCATGTTATTGATAAAAGGATGGCCATTTGGCCATATGTCTTTGAAAAAAAAACCCTCATGAACCCATTCCACATGGAAAAATGTGTGTTTTTGAGAGTTGAAATCAACTCTGATTGGTCAACAAGAAGAGAACGAATTTTATACTGAGACATGGACCTATGCTACTGAGGGTGTGGGGTATATGATTCCAATCACTTGGTTTTGGTCAAAGAGAATTATTTGGATCCATGTCCTCATCTGACAAAAGGGAGAATCCACATTTTCCCAGACTTGTCTGAGTAAATCACAATGGGCTTCAATCCATTAATTCACTGAACTTTACCTTTTGAACAGATCTGAGTTCTTCCTCTCAGTATCAGCCCTTCAAGGGCTACCTGAGTAACCCACGGGGAGTGACTTCTGGATGAGGAAGAAGAAGGGCAAAACCTTGGTCTTATTTAAAGAAACAGTTATTAAATGTAAGAGAGAAATAATTATTTTTCTCAAATGCATAAACATGACTTTACATAGAGACTAATGAGTGTCCCATTCCTATCTTGTAAGGAAATGTAAAGAAATGTTTATACTTTGCTCCTTTATTTGATGTGAGAAATTTCATTAATCCAACTGAGGAGATTTTAGGACCTTGAATCATGAATGAAAATGACATTGCATGGGGAACTTCTAGTGATTGACTGACCAATATAGCCAAAAAACTATTAAGGCAAGTGGATAAACCTTGCTGGAATAACTTATTAAAAAGGATTCAAATTATTTTTTAAAACTAAGGAAGATCTAGATGTTCCACTCAGGTGCCCCCTTCTCACAGTGCCTTGGGTTCCTGTACTCAACATTGAGCAGTGACTGCTCCTCAGCTCCATAACATGAAAGTTTAGAAAAGATTTTCAATGTAGTTATCACGATCATCATCTCAGACAGTGAATATCCAGTTCCTCTAACCTTAATGAAAAGACACAATCTCTACTTCTGGTCACTAATACAGAATTCATAATGTGTGTTCATGGAGGCAGATACTCTGGTACTGGCAAATGTTGACAAGCTTTTTGAGAGAGAGAGAGAGAGAGAGAGAGAGAGAGAGAGAGAGAGAGAGAGAGAGAGAGAGAGAGAGAGAGAGAGAAGTTATTGGCAGCACCAGACTCAGATTGGTCTGACTATTTCAATTCCACTCTTTGTTTATTGATCTTCTGCTGCAATATACAGTCAGCTGTTATGCATGGCTTCTAAACAGGGCAGCTTTGGTTTGGGGATCAGGGTTTGATGAACATCTTCTTTAACTGTTGGGCAACAACAAATATCAGAAAGCACATGGCATTTATTTATAACCTAAGCTGCATTACTATATACTTCTATCATCAGCATTTAAGGCACTTGGGGCAAAGGCAGAATTCATGCATCTCCTGAGATGAATCAAATCACGGAATTATACTCTAACCCCGTAATGAAAAGTTTCAGGAATGATATTCATGATACCACCATGACTCACAATTCCTCACCACATGGTGGGATATCTTCAACACAAACATTTTGCCTTTCTCCAGCAGTTTGGTGTTGGCAAAGATACCTTCACAGAGAAAGTCCCAGATGCAATCTCACATATTACCACAGGGGACTTCAGCCCTCCATTCCAACCATTTTTATCCTTGGGTGAACATAAGTAGTGGTGGAAGCAAGGCCAGCTGATTCCACTGGAGCAAATTTCTTCAACAATATGAAGGAGAAACTGGACATTCAATTCCAGTAGGAACACCACAGTTTTCTTTATGCAAACACTGACAGCACAGGACTGCTTCTAGATAATGTAGCATCTAGAAAAGTGTTGCATATGGTTCATTATAGTTGTTAGTGGCTGTGACTAAAGCTCCTCATTTGTACATTTAGAGTACTAAAGTGGGAAACTGGACAGAAGTCAAGAAGTAAAAAGCTCATTTTCTGGTCAACTAATTGGCTCCTCACATGATCATTCAGAGAATATTTAAGAAACTCTTTATTTAATGTGAATTACAAATAAATTTGGTGAGTGGGAATGAAGTCATTAAACTATGGGCCTCAGTTCCTGAAACCTGAAGAACTGGGCTCCAATCATTTCTCTTATAAAGATAAATGGGAAAGCCACTAATATTTGCCTTGAAATTTTCTGTCGCATATAGATATTTCAGGATTGATCAGAGACTGTCCTAGTGGTCCCAGTTCTTCTTCTATGGAATAGCAATGTAATACTGTCAAATTGAGTCACAAATTTAATAACTGTTACCAGAAATGATGGTACCCTTTTAACCTCTCTTTAAATTTTTTTTTAAAAACCAGTTTTCTGTATGTTGTAAGGTAGCATGCAGTTCTATGCATTTTGGGGATAAGTGAGTTTTTTGAATGTTTACTTCTGGTGGCACTATGCACAACAGTAAAGACTTAGCAGTGAAAATAAGAAGTTAGAAACGGAATGTATTCTTACAGTTCTTGGGACACATATTCAGTATTGGTGGAATTGTGATCATTTTGGAGAGCTAACTTGAGTTATGCTCACCGAGTTATTAAACTGCCTATACCCTTTGACCAAGCAATACCACTGCTAGGTCTATTTCCAAAGATGATTAGGGAAAAAGGAAAATAACCTAGATGTTCTAAAATATTTATAGCAGCTATCTTTGTGGTGGCAAAGAACTGGTAATTGTGGAAATGTCAGTCAATTGGGGAAATGGATGAACAGTTGTGCTGTGTGATTGTGACGGAAAGCTATTGTACTATAAGAAACATTGAGCAGGATGCTCTCACATATGCATAGAAAGAATTACATGAACTGATCAGTGGAACAGTGTAGACATGCAGCAAATGACTAGTAAACCTGTAGTTGATAAATGTGAAAATTTAAGCTTTTGGCATAAGAATTTCTTATTGGTCAAAATTGTTGGGAAGGTGAAGAGCAGTGTGACACAAACTGGGCCAATGTAATAAGACCAATGTCATACCATTTACCAAGATTGGTTAGTGGTTGTCCTTTGTTTTCAAAGAGGACCAAAATGACATCACTATGTTAGAGTCAAGTTAC